CTTTTAAAAAATGTCTGTGAACAGTCGCAAAGAACAATAAAGCATAACTGTAGGCATAACCCATTTTAAGATTTATTGAAACATCCTTAATTGCATGGCCAAGGGGCATAGAACCCCAAGGGAGGGCATTTCTGCTCTAATATCTTCTCCCATCTCTGACCTGCTCTGTTCTGCTCTATCACAGCCCAAGTTCTGGTGCTGCACCCCCTTTTAAAAAATATTAGCAGCATGTTAAATATTCAATATTAAAAGCAAGTGTTACACCCACCAGCATGACAAAAATGAAAAGACAGGAAATATGAAACATGGATGAAGTGAAGTAAGCCAGAGAGAGGAAGAAAAATGTCATGATATCGCTTATATGCAGAATCTAAAGCAAACAAACAAACAAACCACAAATTAACTTATTTACAAAACAGAAGTAGATTTACAGACATAGAGAACAGACTCATGGTTACCAGTGGGGAAAGAGAGTGGGAAGAGATAAATTGGGAGTTCAAAATTTGCACCCCTAGGGGAGTGATGGAAATGTTATCTATCTTGATTTTGGTGGTATATACAGCTATCAAACTACATCAAACTGTACATTTGAAATATGTGCAATTTACTGTGCAGAAATTATACCACAAGAAAGTTGTTTTTTTTTAAAAAAAAATTGACAGAGGTGTAGTGCATCCTGAGCACTCTTGCAGTGCTAATAGGAAATTAAATTGATTCAAACATTTCTGAAAGCTGGCAGCAAAGCTGAACACATCACCCATCCTTTAATTCAGGAGTTTCACTCCTTGGTCTTTCTCAACACGAATGTGTCTGTCTGTAAACTAAAAGTCATGTAGAAGAAATTTCACAAGAGCACAGTGTTAGTTATCTCTTGCTGAATAACAAATTACTCCTCACCTTAGCAACTTACAACAACAAACATTTATTATGTCAGAGTTTCTCTGGGTCGGGAATCTGTGAGTGACTTAGCTGGTGGAAGGGCCAATTGACCCATTAGGGGCAGGATGAGCAGTGCCTGGAACCCACAATGCTTGTTGCCTTCTTGCAATAAATAAATTCATCTTTCTTTTCCTTTTTTTTTTCTTTTTTTTTAAGTGGAGGAAAGATCCCATGAGACAAGAGTGCTACGGGCCCACAAAAGTCATAGAATCATATAATGCAGCCCTGGCTGGGCAGCTCTGGCTGAAGGTCCCTCATGAGGGTTCAGTCAAGCTGTCAGCTCAGGCACAAATCCACTTCCAAGTTCACTCAGGTAGTTACTGGCAGGTCTCAGCTCTTCTCTAAGCCATTAGCCGGAGGCCTCAGTGCCTCACCGCACCGGCGTCTCCGTGGTGGCCGGAGCGTCCTCACAGCGTGGCAGATGGCTTCCCCCAAAGAAAAGGGAGAATGAGAGACAGAGAGAGAGGCACCAAGGTGAAAGCCCAACTGTCTTTATAACCCAGTCCTAGGAGTGGCATATCATCACTTCTGCCATTTTCTATGAACCACAGAAGCCAAACCAGAGACAAGATAGGAGGCGTGTGAGTATCGGGAGACAGGGCTCACTGGGGGCCACCCGAGAGCCTGGCCACCACAAGTCCTATTGTAACAGCTAGAAACTAGAAACTATCCAAATGCCTGTCCACAGTAGATGGGATAAATAAGTGATGGTGCACCGCACAATGGAATGAGGGAGACACACAGCCATGAGAGTGGCAGCATGGATATACCCTTGTGAACATAATATTGCACCCAACAGGCCAGGCTCAAAGTGTATGCACCCTACAATTCCATTTATGTAAGGTTGAAAATCAGGTAAAACTACTCTCTATATTAGAGGTGAGGAGAGTGGTTCCTCCCGGTCCGGACGTGGATTCAAGGGGGCTTTTGGGGGCCCAGCAATATTCAGTTTCCTCATCTGGTTCAGTGGGTTTATTTGTGAAATTCATTCAGGTGTACATTTTTCTCTATGTCTATTATATTTAAAGAGAGTTTTCTGAAAATAGATGTTGGAACATCTTTTTTTTTTTTTTTTTTGATGTCCCTTTCCTATCATTCTGGAAGTGACATCAGTCACAGCTGAGTATCAACCTGGGCTAACTATAATCTGGTCAGCACACAGGTCTGACTCCAGGCCCAGCCAGCTGTGAGATCTTGATTGAATCAGTCGCTTACCCTCTCTGAACTGCAGTTGGCTTCTCTGCAGAGCAGGGTAGACAGGTGCTCCAGCCTCCAAGTGTGGTGGAGAATCTCAAGAAATATCAAGTACAGCTGAGTCCTCTCATGTACGGGGTCAAGTACTAAAGTTAGAGAGCAATGTGACCATCGAGTGTAAACACACCGGAAATCGACACAACACTGTAAACTGACTATACTTCAATAGAAAAAAAAAAGTAAAAAAAAAAAATCAAGTGTAAATAAACCCTTGAAAATTCCTTAGATGAGCACTGGGATGCCCTTGAGGCTCAAAAACCAGAAACCAAGAATTTGCTGGGTTTTTTGGTTCTCTTTAGCTTTCTGCCCTGGTCTTCTTTTCTGTAGGGGAGGAATCAGGTGTTTTCCCCAGATTATTTTGGTCTAGAAACCCTTTGTGGATAACGTCAAGGTTAAACAAAGTGACTAATTAAAGCCTTTTAACCAAAACAGGGTGCAGCTTGATGCTTAATGACATGTGAGTACTATACCTTGAGAAAGAAGCCGAGGTCAACATTAGATAGAGAAATAGCAATTTTCCAATTGCATAGTGCTTTATATTTACAAATTTAAAATTATTTTTTAAAAATTAACTTTATTTTTAAAGATGAGGCTTAACGTCTCAAGATCACCTGATGAGTTTAACAGGCGAGCTGGGATTCATAACCAGACCTTCCTAGTTCAAAACTGTTATACAGTACTTCTCAGGAGACCAGTATCTCTGTCTGTCTCTCTCAGGGATGATGGTTGAACAGAGGTAGGTTTGAGGATTTGTTATCTGGTTCTCCTGGGCTTATCTGGCCTTAGCCACCTGCCAGGTGATACAGCTTATTTCTGATGCTCTAGGGTGGGACCAGGTTATCTTTTCAATACATATATGCCTGTATCATGCCTATGCATGCATTTAACACCTGCTTATCACTAGATCATCAAACCATTTGTAAAGACAAACCTCGGGAAATAAAGACACATATTGCAAGATAATTGAGTTATGATGATGATTCAAGTCTGGGTTTCTTCTCGGTGGGAGTTGGGAGTCATAGGGCATAAGACTGTCTCTGTGCCTTACAGCTTTGCAGACACGTACACCTTTTAATGTGCCTGGAGGCTCCCTTGCCAGGGTAAGACCTTCCTGTACTTCCTGGGAGAACCCAGAAATAGCCTTTGGGAAGTCGCTTAGAGAGGAGGGTAGAGGTGGGCTCAGTGGAAAATCTCCAGCTTCTCACATCTAGGAGACAGAGACTGCTGTTTCCAGTGGGATCCTATGTCAGTCCTTACATTTGAGTCATTCCATGGGGTTTCTTTTGGGGCTCTCAGGTAGCAGCATGAGGCCCCCTGGTGGCCTGAAATAATTCATGAGTTTACTTTTCAAGCATTTGGAAGGGGAGGCCCTGCTGGCTAGCTAAGAACAAAGTAGAAATGAGACAGAAAATACTCGCCTAGACCCATCGCTTACAGTGGAGGCCGGGTGGAGGAGAATGGCCTATTTTGGGAGATTTGAGAACCGAAGTTTTTCCTTTGCTTAGCTTTGGAAGAAGATAAAACATTTATGGCACTAACATGGTAGAAAATGAAAGTTGTCATTAGAGAATGAATGGAAAGAGACTTCTGAAGGAGAAGTTATACAGATAAATGGGAACCTCTAGGAAGAGGCTGCATTTAAGCTGGTGCTCTGATGAGAAGAAGGGTTTGGATGTGATTGAGTTGGAGAGGAAAATTTCCCTCCTGGCGTTATGCAGGAGGGAAAAAGGAAGCTTGGACATCCATGGAGGCGGGAAAACTGAAGCCTGACCCAGGAATTGGTGAATCGTCTGGTCTGGCTAACTCTTGAGTTTTTGAGTTGGAAAGCTGGAGACATCTGTTTGGATCAGACAGTGGCAAACCTTGAACACTTGCCTGAGAAATTTCTTCACCAAGCAATGGGGAGATTTTGAATGTCTTTGAACAGGAAAAAAAAAAAAAAGGCATGTCAAAGCACAGTCTCCTTCCCACTGTAATACACACGAGGCCATACACTTGCATTTGGTCCAGAGGAGTGTTGAACTGCATGTTTAAGATAATTGTAGGGTACCCTCTGGTATTCAACAACTCCAGGCTTTCACCGTCTGACCTTCAAAGCTAGGAGAACCTAGGTCAGTAAGGTGTCTCCCCTTTACAAAACTACCTGCACGCCAGGGAGCAGTCAGTGCCCGAGGTCTCCTGCCATATTTAAGTTAAAGTCCTTGAGAGATTGCCTTTCCTTGGAAATGCTATGCTAGGTTTGTTTGGTTTTGCTTTGTTTTTCCAAGGATTAAGAAAGGCTTCATGCTTATCTTCCCACTCTAGAGAAGACATGAACCAGGGATATTTCTGGCTTGAGTTCTGGGGAAGCATCCTAGCTTTCTGAAGAACAGTTAAATATCCACAGAATTCAAGCAGTAAGCTCATTTGCATCCTCTTAGAACTAATTCAGTTAAGCAGCCTGAGAAGCCACACAGTGCCGGGCGTATAGCTGGTGCTCAAAAATATGTCAAGCACATATTTGACAATATTCAAAAAATTCGACAAATATGTCACCCACATTTAACAACACATTATAAAATTCCTGACCCCAGGCATTGATTTCCTAACTGTAATGGCATAGAAATCTTTTTGACTATAGTAAATATAATTAATATTGTTCTTCAGAAGTCATGAAAAAAAAAGATGTGACAAAAATAAAAATCTTTTCATTAAGTTAGGAAGAAGCAATGTGCGCATTTGAGAAAAATACACTTGACGTAGCAAGCGAGGCAGGGAAGACGGGCAGCTTAGACTCGCAGTAACAAGAGCTACAGCAGGAGCAAGCATTTAAGAAGTTTCAGCAGCAATGAGTATTTATTATTTTGAATGAAATGTACATTAAACTTTAATATAAAAATCATCGAAAGTGCGATATTGGATTACTTTAATATTAATTTATCCCCCCATGTCACCTAGTAGCTACACCTTTCACCTTTTTTTAACTTCTGACATATCATGACAATCGTCTAAAAACTGTCCAATGTTAAAACATAAAAAATATTAGGTTATTCTTCAAGAAAAGTACCACCAGTGATGAGTTACTGAGAGTGAAAAATGAAACAGTTGCCAGGAAATCAACTTACTGGAAAAAAAAATTATCACAGAATTTCATAGGAGTGTGCAAAGTTCAAGACAGCTTAGACCCTCCACGGAACGTCTTTATGATACAGCATCTTAAAAGTGTGGGTTATTTCGTCTGGAGGCAGGTCGCTGGCGTGCCAGAACTGTCCATCTTTTCATCTTCTCTTGCCTACTTTCCAAGGTGAATCAGACGTTGTCTAAGGCCATGTACCTCCCGTGACCCCTAAAACGTTTAATGTAGAGAAAAAGTTGATTTTTCAGTCTTAGAAATAGCCCTTAGAATTAAGTTTGTCATGAAAGAAGACACCAGTCACGGCTCACAGACGAGAACCCCTCCACCCCCAAGGCACCCCCATGCCTCTCGTCTGTGGCAATGCAAGTCCATCCTCTGCCACACCAGCCCTGGACACACTGGCTGATCAAGTGAGAGTAGCCCTTTCAGGCCACACACCCCGTTTGATCTCATTCAGTCCTAAGCAAACAAGCTTCTCTGATTTGCCACGAGAGCCGTCTGACTCTCCCGTCTCTTGGCTTTCTTGCTCCTCTGTCGCACCTTCCAGCACAGGGCGCTGGAGGCTAACAAAAGAAGTCCTGACGACAGAAGGACCAGGCCTAAGATGGAGATGATGGAGCCATGAGAATTGAAGCTGTAAGCCACGGCCGTGACCACAATCCCGGCGATGAGGACCACCACGGCGAAGGGGATGATGCAGCGGTAGCAGGAGAGCTCGGCGCCCCCTGTGGCAGCCGTCAGCTGAATCTCACTGACCAGGGGAACCATGGTGACCACTACCTCTCTGTTAGGGCTCTTCTCCATTGTCCCTGGCTTGGAGGACTTTGGGGTTCCCACGGTCTCCTTAACAGGCTCTTCGGTCATTTTTACAATGGCGTTTCCTAGCTAAGTTCACAGACTAACCTGGGCCGTCTCACCAGGGCCAAAGCTGTGGAGAAGAGAGGAGATGTTAGCTAAATGCAGCAGAGTGAGCCCTGCAAGTCAGAGTAGAGATCTGGGGGAAACACCACTGTGTTCTTTTCTAGGAGGCATGGATGCACGTGAAAATCAACTTTAATATTTTTTTCCCTGACTGTTTGCATTCTCTTTGCATTGGGCAGAAAGTGACATAAAGCAGAAAAACCATAAAGAAAGGGGAGATACAAAAAGCAGGAAGCACTTTACAGCACTTAATACACTCTGGCGGTCTACAAATGTTTTACAAGCTTCTCTGCTTTGTCTATTGCTTCTCTTTCCTCCAAACACACAGAAAAGCCTCAATCCTATTCCAAAATCAGCCTCATTCAAGAGGAGAGCACGTTATAAACAGCACTTTGCACAGTCCGTTCCACACTCACAGCACCTTAGACTCTGCCAACGTTTCCGGGCATAACATGCATTCTTTCCAAACTGTCACCCATTCACTGTGCACCAAATCAACGTCAAGACCAGCAGCCAGCGTACAAAT